TTTGTGCAGTTTAGTCTTATATTAATATTGCAAAGGTTGGACCAAATGTGAGAATCTAACCAAACCACACGAACCAAAACTGTAATTTACTCTTATTTTGAAAGTCTTAAGTTATAGATTTGGTCCCCATGGTTTGCTCAAATTCGTACTATTGGTCCAACTTTTGGAAAATAGATCATGATTGGCCCTATGTTTTACAATTATTGCATTGGTAGTCCCTGGGACAGTTATCATTTGAGAAGCCCTGTTCAATTTTGTTAAATGATGAAATTTCCCTTTTATTTATATTTTTCTTATTTTCTTAGTTACTTTAGTTTTTTTTTTAAACCACAAAAAAGTACTACCACCAACCACCGCATCCCCTTACCACCATCACCAATACCAACACCACCACATAACCTCACCACCACCACCCACCATTCACCACTACTTGTCACTCCAAAACAAAGAGAATAACTAGAAAAATATAGTACCATATACCACCATCAATTAATAAAATCCCCTAAAAATCAAAAAATTATTTACCATAATAGATATTTAATGTTGTAAATTTGCCACAAACATATGCTATAATCAAATACAAAAAACCAAAAGATACAACACATGAATCAAATGGGTGATTGTCTCTCTATTCTTCTCTTCTCCTCTTGGTGAAGGCTACAAGCCGAGAGAATTTGATAAACCCAAAATGAAACCTTTTCATTGATGATTTTTTTTAGTGGTTGAATATATAACACCCATCTGGATTGTCTTGTGTATATATAGGACGTGTTTGACACACAACTTTTGAAAACTTCTAACTTTTAGCTTTTAAGGAAAAACTAAAAAAAAATAATAATAAAATATTCGTTCGACGGTAGGAGCTTCTAGCTTTAGCTAAAACAAAAAACTCCAAATTCAAAAGTTACTTCAAGTAGTGTTTAACAAAAAGCTCTTTTATAATTTGCAAATTGACTGAATCACCCTTTTATAATATCCATGTTTTAGATAAGCAGCTTCGAACTTTCAGTTAGTTTTGCCACACATCCATAGTTTTGTTTGTTAATTAGATAAAACGTAGGTTTCTAATTTGATATTGTATATATTAGGACTATATGATTATTTTATTTGGATTTTTGTATTCATTTTAAACAAAACCAAAATATTATTTTAAATTTTATATTAATTTTGGTTGTCAAAATACGAACAAAATAATCTGAAAAATAGCAATTCGTGAATATTTATTTATATATTTTTTAAAATATATATTTAAGCATTTAGTAGATTATTAGTTAATGTCTCAACCAAATATAAAGGGTTAATAATACAAAATTATATAAGATTGTAAATTATATTTATACATTTAATATTAATTTATGAAGTCTTTTAAGATAATTATTTTTATTATTTTATTCGAGTTGACCAAAAGATTATTAAATAGTTATGGATTTAAATTTATAAATTAAGCTTGTTCGCATCAATGTTGTTTTTAGGCCAATTACTTTTTTACATTGATGATGTTTTTTTGTATATTAAACTTTGACAAATAGTCTTAGGTCTAGAAGTATCAATAGGTTAATTTTTTTCCTGTAATATTAAGGGCTTAAGTCTTGTTATCGACAAAATAAATAGTTTAAAAATAAGATTTAATGGATATGTATATCAACGTTAAAAAAACTTAACAATATTTTGTACAATTATGATTTTTTGTAGGCCAATAATTTTTTTTATTTTATTGGAGCTGACCTAGATGGAAGATTATTAAATGGATTATGAATTTGAAATTAATAAATTAAGCTTGTTAATATTATACATATATATTCATTCTAGAACTTGAAAATGAATTGTAAAAACCTACTCAACCGTATTATGGTTCATATAGAACATTAATTTAGTTTTGACTGCATAGATCTTTATTTGGAAAAACAAAATCATTTTGAATTCACTTGTTTGCATCAAATGAAACCAATCCATTTAAACAAATGTCATTAAAAAACATGGTCGATATAATTAGTCATGAACTATAAGCACACGAATCATATATGATCCATTTAGTTTGACTATATATCAGAATTATACAAGAATATAACAAAAATACACTGAGCTTAGATAACAAAATTGTTTTGGACTCTCTCTATCTATCTTCCCTTCCTATTCATTCATCAACTAATTTTTTTTCATAAATATGTAAATATATGGGTTGGAATCGCAAAAGAAAAAGTGAAGGGGGTCCATAGCAAAAAGAAAAGTGTAGTTGCTCATGTAGTCATGGTTTCTCACAAGTTGGAGAATTTGGCCTTCTAACAAATCGCCCCTACAAAATGAACATATCAATTGTGACAAAATGTAAACATTAAATTCAATAATGCTACTATTAGAGACAATAACTAAGTCCAAGTCCATGTCATTGTGGTGACACATGATTTTTTCTTTTATTTCATGCATGTTTAATCATCTATTTATCAGAATTCAAGAGTCATAACTATAAATTCTAAATTCATATAACTTGGAGTTGGATTATATTTTCTTGCAATTAATTAGATTTAGATAAAAAGGTGAGAAACTATACCTTGGATCTAGGTCGTTGATCAGCATTGAGTTTTCGAACTTGATATCTGATTTTCGTGGAGAAGAGGCGTGTACGTCGCTTTTCTTTGTAACGGGTTACACTAGCTTCTCTTAACCCACCATTATCTGAAAATAAATCTATTTGAGCCAATCTTGCCTGTAGATACATGAAAACGAAGTATATTAAGGAAGTTACTAGTTTTAATTTATTTGATAACGAGAAAAAGTTATTTAAATTTTTGGCCATTTATAAAAGAAAATACATATTTTTGTAGTTATCCGGTTCTTAATAAGAGAAAAAGACAACATACATATATATCATTATATCGATTTGGATTTTAGTATGATTTCCTGAATTTGAAAATATTTATGTTTAATTTGGATTTTTATATGATTTTGGTGGAGTTTATTTGGCGTTTACTCTTTTAGTATGATTTTGTAGATTAAATATATTTATATTTATTTGGATTTGTGTTTAATTGTGATTTATGTTTAATTTGAATTTTGTATGGGTTATATATATATATATATATATATATATATATATATATATATATATATATATACACACACATACACGAGAAGACAATTCGGTTATTTCATAAAACATAAACATTAAATTCTATAAAAAATAATGCATACAGAGAAAATAATTATTTTTATCATTCTGCATAGCAATTTAGATGCTTAAATAAAACAAAATATTAAAAGTTAATATCTCAATGATTCAGCCTCTTGGAAATTCAAATTTTGAAAATTTAGATTTTAAAAATAGCATTCCTAGTCATTTTATCATTTATTCATTATTGATATTGATATCATTTATTTTATAGTAATTGTTTTTTTGGAAAAATAAGTAAATAATATATATTTCAATGGTTTAACCAATAAAAATAACATTTTAGTGGTTAAACTTAAATTTATAAGATCATTAAAATACTTTTTTAATTTTCTCCAATTATCAAAATCAAATAATCCTGGAAATATATATAGATTATAATATCTATATTATATATATATCTATATATATATATTATATATATATATATATATATATATATATTATATATATATTCTATATATCTATATATATATATAAAAATAAAGGTTAATCCAAATTATATAAACAGACTTTAATTAAAAAACCTGTTGAGAGCTTTACACTGAATTCCTGGCGGGAGAATAAGCAAGAAATCACTTACATGAATATCACTTCCCGGCGACTCCGGCCCCGACATTTCCTCCGGCAACGGCGACCCTTTATCCGACCAAGCATTCAAAACTTTTTCATAATTCAACTTCAATAATAACCGAGGCCAATTTTCAAGACTTAAATTCCTCTCTCGCGGAATCGGATTCCCCAATTCCAATTCCATCTTCATCGATTCCTCCACTTTCTTCTTTTTGTCAGTCGGAGCTTTCTTCAATTTCACTGAATCCGGTGGCGATATACACATCACGTTAACCGCCGGAAAACTCCACCAGTTCCGTTCATCTACATTCCTCAACGCCCTCACCCCATTTCTCAATCCCAATCCGAAATTGAACTCTAAATTCCCCCCAAATCCAAGCCCCATGGGGTACCCATAACAAGTATTGTAATTAAAATCGAAATTCAAACTGAAACAAGATTTCACATTTGAAATTTCATCACCTCCCACAATTGAATTCGATTTCCCCATAATACTATCAATCCCCGCTTCAATTTCCTCATCAAGCATCGAATCAGTGTCGAAATTTTCCTGATATCCTTCACTCAGTTCCATTGAATTAGAATTGGAGTCGATTGGAGTCCGGTCTTTCAGCTCAATCGAAGAACTGGGTTTCACCTTAATCGGCCTTTCAGTCACCGGAAAGGGCAAAATCAACTCCGGTGGTTCATTGAAGAAATAAGAACGTTGGTTTGGTAACGTCGATTGATTATTGTTGTTCTTGTTGATCGAGAAAATGGTGGGACAAGCTGTGGAGAGAAGGGCAGCTGCTTCATTGTAAGTTTGATTGGGTCTTTTTCGTGGGGTTCTGGGCTTTCGAGTGCAGACAGCCATTGGAGAGTTGCTTGATTCTGAGAGATTTGAAGATGGAGAAGATGAATGTGAAGTTCTAGTAGAAGTAGCAGATGAGGATTTAACGATATTTTCAAGATCAAATCCATATGCCCTTCCTGTACCTCTACTTAAACACGATGACATTTTGATTTTTCTGTTTTTCAACTTCAATTAATTACCAAATTCATGTATTTCGTTCTTCATTTGACAAAAAACAAACAACCCCAGATTTTATTCTGAGACATTTTTGGATTCAAAAACTAGAAACTCGATTCAGACATTCAGTCACAAGAAGTAAAAGGAGAATTGAGATCAAACGAGTGGAAATGATGAAAGATATTTTAGAGTTAAAAAAAAAAAAAAAGACAATGAACCCTAAACCCTAAAAAGTGCTTGTTTTTCTGAATAAACAAATATTGGGTTCCTGTAGAATATGAGGAAAAATCCAACGAAAGATTTATATAATATTCTACAATAAGAAAGATACGAGAAACCCTTTTCCTAAAACCCACAAAATGTCACCAAATCAACATTGAATTCGTTTGCAGAATTGTGTCATGGGTGTAAGAACCTTTCTAGTGCTCAGAATTTAGCGAAATCGGGAAAGTAAACACAATTTATACAAATTGTAGGTGTGCATTGTGACAGATGAACGAACAAAACACAAAAATTCAAAAGATTCTGAGTTGGGTTTACCCAAAAGAACATCAAAATATCTAATCTAGATCACATTTATGGGCATCCACGATTGCAATAACACACACACACAGAGACATAGAGAGAGAATGGAGTCACGAGATCGGAGAAGATATAAAAATGGAAGAAATCCGTTGGTGATTTTTGTAAGAGTGATAGAGACCCACTTCTCTTTCTCTCTTTTGTATGTCTAATTTGGTAATTTCACACAACTGAGGGATGGAGAAAACAGAAGAAGGGACGAGAGAGAGGTTCTAAGACTTTCTGTTTGGAGTTTGGACCACTTCGATACTTCATCACTCCAATTATTTTAGTGTTCCATGTAATAATATTACTTCTTGTAACTTATGTAACAAAGTAATTTTTAATATAAAATATATGATTATGTTGTATGTTAGTATATGACAAAGATTAAATATAAATATGTATTTGTACAATAAATTTTATGGATTTTTTTACCGATTTATGTAAAAGTTTTACTTTTATATCAATTTATGCAACAAATTCGAGTTATACAATGGACAATCACGTTTCAACCTATTAAACATTAAACATGTTACTTTAGGATGCAACATTTTTATCCTAAAATCAAGGATGGAGTTAGAAAATTCGGGGTAAATTTTTTTTTACTTGTGGACCCAAATCTGAAGTTAATGTAGACCATTTTTTGATTGGATATTAAACATTTTACATTAATTTTATAAGATAGATAACAAAAATTAAAACCATAAAAAAAAATTAAATAAGCTCTTATATAGGTTGTGAGAATTAAACTTATAAAATTGATATCTATAAATATGAAGAGATATGTTTGTTTTGTTTTATGGAAAGGAAGAGGTAAATGTGATTAGGCATTTAGTTCCCACATTTTTAGTAGGAAAAAATGGTATAACTTTTGGGTTTTATGAAAACAGAGAGAAGCCTCATCCATAATAGAATGCGTTTTGGCCGATCTAAATAATATTTTGAGGATAGTAGGCAAATCAGTAATTAAAAAGGAGAAAAGATATGGGTCTTGGTAAGATTTTTTATGTTCATGGAAGTAGTTGCCAACACTGAAGATCCACCCTGAATCTTTCGCTACCTAAAATAGATACAAATACATATTTTGTAGAATATATACTTTGTTATGGAAATTAGAAAAAAAAAATGTACAATTCACATCTAACTATTTGTTTTATCACCTCTCCTCCGCATGCCCTCAAATGCCCGTTTTCTAGGTTTCCTCACATGTCATGTTTTCAATATAATAAATAGAATAAATTACGAAAATGGTCTATATACTTTGGTCAAATTTATAGTTTCGGTCCAAGTTTTAAAAAGTTGATTGGTCGCATCCACCTGTTTTCAAATTTTCCATTAATGGCTCGTCAAGCTAACTCTGTTAACTTGTTTTATTAATCTCACAGTTGTCACCTCTTGTAATCGCATTGCCACCATTTGCTGTCATCGCACACACCCCATGCACGGATTTGATCCAAATTTTTGTAAGTGGTAATTGTAGATTTGTTCTTTCCAAAAACTCAACCACTTTTTGGATTTTATTTTGTTTTTTCATTTGTGATTCTTAAACTTATTTGATTTGGTGCTTTAAGATTAATGAACCTATAACTTGATAGTTTTAGTGTTTCAGGAATTAATGAAACCTAAACAAAGATGAAGATGATGTTCATGTCATAACTAATTTATGGGGTTTCGATTTGCTTTTGATTTTGCATATGATTTTGCGGTTTACCTAAATCTAGAATAAACATTGAAGTAAATGAATGCATTTTGTATTTTCCATATAGTATTGCTTTGTGAATTAGCATCTATTTTATGATTTTGCATAAATGAAGAACACCGAAGCTATAGTATATGGTGGTCGACGGTGGAGAGTATGATGTGATGGGTTTTGAAAAGCTAAAAACGATCATTTTTATAAAATATTTTAAGCGGCAATGAAAGCAATATTAAAAATAACTATTATTTTAAGACCATTTTAACAAAAACACCAAAGATCCATTTACATGATATTAGAAAGATTATAAACAACGCATAGAATGATGTGCACAATCACGCCTTCGTATTTCCTCTATCCTCAGATGTACCTGAAACCATAAAGTAAAACTGTAAGCCAAAGCTTAGTGAGCTTCCCCCAAGATACCCGACACAACAGAACATATATATATATATATATATATATATATATATATATATATATATATATATATATATATATATATATATATACATAAACATGAATGTTGGGTCCACAGTCATCAAACTGGATTACCCCTGAGCCCACAACTTAAGTTTAGACTACCCTTCCGACCCTCAGCTTATGTCTGGATTGCTCTCGAGCCCACATCATAAGTCTGGATTGCCCTCCCAACCCTAAGCTTATGTCTGGATTTCTCCCGAGTTTGTTGGCATCCGCGTAAAGCAGTATCACCTCAACCCAACCTCACTATGTCGACATATGCAACAGATAAACATTAACCTGCAAGCACAGGTGATCATATAGATCTACCAATCTAACAAATAACTACAACATAGCATCATCCTATATACCAGGATACATAACACAACCTAGTGGGTCGGCATTGGTGCCTTTGACCCACGAATACAGTGAGAAAACTCACCTCAAAGTCCAAAAGATAGTTGTATTGATCACTGCTCCAAATACCGGCTCTACAGGTCACCTATACAACAAACAAGGACGAAGCCTCAATCTACTGCTCAAATTACTACATTTAACCTAAAGTTAAACTTGGTCAATGGTCAAAGTAAACAGTCAATAGTCAAAGGTCAAAATCTCCATTTGAAGTCACACAGCCGGTCGTCACGTCGTGACCACCTGTTGGAAATGTTGTGACCTAATAAGACTAAACAGTCGCGGATAATCATTCTCACATCTTGACACCCAAGTGTTCACGTCATGAGAAGCACTCTAGACAGCTTGATGTATAAAGCTCTTAATCCTTTCAGACACACAACCAAAACTTCCAGAATGTCTTATCTACTTCAAAACATCATTAAAATCATGGCTTTTTAGATATGCATGGCCAATACATGCCTCAAACACAAGCTAGGTCTAAAATGGTGTAAAATCGGGACAACGATCTTATGCAAAAGCTCAAAGTTCTATAAAACTCCAGATCCATGACCTTAATCCACAAAAGGACCATGGGGATCCATAAAGTTGGCAACTTTATGGAACCCCAACACTCTCAAAAGACAAAACATGAAGAAAAACCATGGAAAGCCTAGATCTAAATAATTGGAATCATAAACCAATGAACTTTGATTACTCACAAGGGTCCACAAGGTGAGAAAGGATGATGGTGAGGCCTGCAAGCTGAGATGGTGTACCAAATGCTCTTCTGCTTCTTCTTCTTTGCTAGAAATCACCACAAATAGACTCAAAATCAACTATAGAGGATTAAGGTTACAAGGGGGAGTGTTAGGAGGTGATGGAGGCTGAGGGTGGGCTAAGTCTAGCCCTCACTTCATTTAAATACATGATAACTCCCCCAAAATTAGGGTTTAACTCACAGCCAGGTCTCTCGTCGTGACCCGTACATAGTCACGTCGTGACCTCTAAATTCATGCACATTATTGAGAGGCCACATTATGTTATGACATGTAAGTGCTCACGACATGAGCTAAGTTTGAACCCAAAAATTTAGTTTAATAACTTAAAAAAATTATTTCGGTGAACTTGGTGTTACAATTCTCCCCCACTTGGACTAGATTTCGTCCATAAAATCCTTGGCTGAAAATAGATCCGGATAATTCTCACGCTGTAACACTCGATTCTAGATATGAAATTATTTCTGATTGTGTATGAATTTTTTTTCGGCCACGAAATGGTGAAGCCTCACCACGACGTGACGATAAGCTTTTGGGTCGCGAGAGTTTAATGAACCACCACAACGTGGTGATTTTGCCATAATGTAGTGGCGGATGTTGTAAAAAACCCTAAAGTTTAGGGGATGAGCCCTATTTAAACTCCTTAACCTCTTATAGCCTCCCTCCCATCTGCCTCCATCTCTCTAAATCGTCCCTTGCAACCCTAGATCCATTGTGTGGGTTTTTAGCCTTAAAGTGTGTGTGTTTGGTGCTTGTGAAGGAAGAAGTGGTGGAAGATCATATTGTGAGTCCAAAGCAACGTGGGTCCAGGAGTTTATCTTCCTCAAGCATCTCAAGGAGGTATAAAGTCTTCATCTTGATGAGTTAGTTGACAGATCTTTTGATTTTGTCCACTTTTCTCTATGCCTTGATGCTTTGTAAGGATGAATCTCATAAATCTTGCAAATTTATGAATCTCCAGGCTATTTGGAGCATTTAAATGTTTGGATCTTATTTAGATTTGAGTTTTGAGGCCATGTATGGAATCTTGGCCCTTTAAACATAATTTTGACCTAACAAGAGTTCAAAACATGCATTGGACATGCATGTCTGAAAAGAACTGGTTTTTATGATGTGTTTGGTGTTCGAAACTCTCCTGGTTTGGACAAGTACCCTTAAGGATTGAGTGAATGTTGCTTAAGCCATGTAGTGTTTTGGACCTTAAAGTTGAGATCTATACACTTTGGAGAGTTCTATTGGATAAAGTTGGAAACTTTATCCATTTAGACCCTATTATGGATCAGATCTAAGTTGGAGACCCTTTAGGATCGAAGAAAATGGATGAATGCGTTAAGCTGCTAAAAATCCGGTTACCACGACGTGGTGGCGGGGCTGGTCGCGACTATTTTGTCGTATTTGATGCCACGATGTGGTAAAGGGCTACCACGACATGGCAAACAGCTGAGTTGGCTCTTCTTGACTTTTTGACTGTTTGACCTAGTTGAACCCTAAGGGGTATTTTGGGTATTCTGGATTATTTTTGAGAATTGGTCTTTTTGATGGTTAGGCGTCGGTTAGAGCTGAGATTCAGATTCAGGACCTCATCAATTATTGTTCAAATTTAGAGGCGAGTTTCCTCACTGTGTTTAGTGGGTCGAAGGTACCAGTTTCGGCCCATGGTTTATTATGTTAGGATACTATATGTCTACGTGACTCTTGCATGTATATGAATTGGTATGTATATCGAGCGTGGATCGATGTCGGGCGAGGCTCGATGACTATATTATATGTTAGTATCTTTTTGATTATCACATGTGTTAGTATGATTATATGTTTATATGCTTATATGTGTATCGGGAGGGCCCCGATGTCTAGCGAGGCCTGGTGATTGACAGATCTGTAAACCG